GTTGTCAATGTATAGAACTACTTAATTTTACTTTAGGGTTTCTAAATTTTTAAAAACCAAAACCAAAAATTCAAAATGACAACCATACGAAATGGAGCCTCAGCTAATAGTGATGTGTGAATGTTTTGTCAAGAAATTTCTGATGTTACGCCCCACTTGTTGCTTCCTATTGTATTGAGCAAGGTCTTTTTTGGCCTAGGAATGCTGTTAGAATTTGAATTTAATGTATGGAATGGGACATGAATAAATGAATTAATTGAATTATCTTTGGGTTTGTGCAAGTTATAACTATGTGAAAAGTACCTATATTTGTATTTTGAAGCTTTGGTGCTAATTACGTGTTCCCTACTAGATTCTAGGATTTAAGTTTTGAATGAAGGAATCAGCTCATAATGAAGTTATGAATTCTTAATCTTGACTTGAGTAGTCTTTGGAAATTTGGTCTTGAGCCATTGTTACTGGGTTTAGAATTTCTGTTAAAGGGTTTAAGTTTGAAGCAAATAAGGTTTTAAAGATGTAATTCTTATGGATTTCTTTATCTTGACTTGAATAGTTTTTGCAAATTTATTTAGTGATTGTAGCTAGGTTGAATGCGTTAGAGTGATCTTAAGTCTCCTTTTCAATGTCAGTTATAGTTATTGCCTAGATCTTTCAGTTTCAGGTTCCATCAACCTTTCTAGCTCAAGTCTTTTTGTTGGACAGAATACATTTGTTAAGTATTATGCTTACAGCTACACATTCTTACAGATTTCCTAGTCTTGACTTGAATAGTCTTTGCAAATTGGCACAGCTAATGTTGCTGGCTGGTATGAGTACGTTATAGTGACATTATTACTTAATCTTCTGCTATAACAAACAAATTATTAAATGCAGAAACGGAACCAACAACTGGTAATCAGCATGGAAAATCAAATGGGTCAATAACACTAGTCTATTTGTAGGACAGAACACATTTTTGAAGCATTATGCTTACAGCCACACATTCTTACAGATTTCTTAGTCTTGACTTAAATAGTCTTTGCAAATTGGTACAGCTAATATTGCGGGGCTGGTATTAGTACGTTATAGTTACTTAATCTGCTGCTATAACAAACAAATTATTAAACGCAGAAACGGAACCAACAACTGGTGATCAGCATGGAAAATCAAATGGGTCAATAACCCTAGACAGAGGAGACAGAAAGGAAAAAAGATGAGGAGAAAGGACACCAATTAGAAATGATTGCTTAAATAACCTATATCACTTCTAAAGTTAAAGATATTAGTAACCTAATTTAAGGTTCTCGCTGGTAGTTGTTGCAAATTTCTTAAACGCTAATATAGACACCTTTCACTATAACATACTCTACAATACACTTATTAAAAAATTATTATTTTCTTATATACACTACTAGAAAAATGACGTATGCGGACTGATCATATACGGACCGACACGTGTCGGTCCGAAAAAATAAATATTCGAACCAATATCGGTCTGAATATATTCCGGTGGGGGAAAATATACTGATGAACATATTCGGACCGGTATCAGTCCGTATATTTCTGGCGGGAGTCACAGTGTAGACGCGCCAATAATATTCAGACCGTTTTCGGTCCGAATATTATTTCTGAAAAAATAAATATTAAATACCAAAAAATATTTCTGGCGGGAGTCAACAGTACAATCACGCCAATAATATCCGGACCGTTTTCGGTCCGAATATTATTTCTGAAAAAAATAAATATTAAATACCAAAAAATATTTCTGGCGGGAGTCGAGAGTACAAACACGCCAATAATATCCGGACCGTTTTCGGTCCGAATATTATTTCTGAAAAAAATAAATATTAAATACCAAAAAATATGGAAAAAATATTATTTAAGTAAATATATACGGACCGGTTTCGGTCTGTATATATCCATTTGACAATATCTCTGAATTGATTGGACG